GGATCATTTAACCCATTCATGTTAGCAGAGGATCATTGTAAATGTATTGTTGCAGGCACTCTATATGTACATGTACTATATACTACATATAGAGTGCACTGAACAATAGATTTACAATTATCCTCTGCTAATATGAATGGGTTAAATGATCAGTAGTACATGATATGTAGCCCTGTACCCCCTTTTCCACTTACAGAGCTAGGTTATTTTTCTTTTAAATAAATATTAATGTAATTTTATTGGTATCTATCTACCAGTAGCTGCCTCATTTCCCACCCTCGGCTTATATTCGGGTCAATACTTTTCCCCAGTTTTTTGTGGTAAAATTAGGTACCTCGGCTTATATTCGGGACGGCTTATACTCGAGTATATACGGTAATGCTTTTATACAGATAGAGATGCAGATGCCAATAAAACTAAGACTGTCACCTGAAGATGGTGGTATAGTAGAATGAGTTTCTAGGACAGCTCCTGGTTGTCATGGTGGATTGACATTGCAAATGTTTGCACAGGATCGGTAACATGAAGCTACACCCATTTTACTTTGCAGCAGAAGTCCAACATATATTGGTGCCAAGGGTAGAAAATGTTGTTCCTGTCTACTCTTATAAGGAATGTATGTGAAGGGTATAGCTAGAAATAGTTGGACTTGAGGTTCAGCTGGACTTGATCTTGAATGTTTAGACATTTCTCTACTCATCCAAGTGGCTCCCTTAGTTCAGATAAGTGTTAGAAACATCCTCCACCATTGATAGCCACAAAATAGTCAAGATTCAGGTCGGCGCAAACCAGTGGGACTGGTGCTCACTCCGCCAATGCTAAGAACCAAGGGGCTGCCCTCTCTACCAGGGAGTCACTGGAATCTTGTCCACATGCAATGAAACACGGAGCAGGCGTCACCGGTATGTTTATTGACCAAATAATGAGATAAAAGAGTATAACAGTTATAGTCACTATTCCCCAACGGGGGGGCATGCTAATGCATTGGCTACCCTGAAACGCTTCAGCATGGCCCCCCTGTTGGGCTGCACCTACCACTATACAGCGTTCTTGGACCATCAGACTCTGTTATTGATACGCCCGGTTTCTTTTAGGAATAGTGAGAAGAACCTTTTTACTCTGTTATTTCATTATTTGGTCAATAACCATACTGCATGAGGAGGTGGCGCCTGCTCTGTGTTTTGTTGCATTTATAGCCACCCCGGTGACTGTCACTTGATCCAAACACCATGCTTTCATGAAATGTATCATGATGGATATTGCCTGTCCAAGAACATATTGGAAGCTGTCAAACTTTGTAGTACCACCTTGTTCTAATTTCCACAATCTGATCACCTTGGTGCCATGTTCGGGACACAGCAGACTTCCTATACCTGAAATAAGACAGACAGACCTTTTCTCTCGGACACCGGGCTGCACATTTTTCATTAGAGTGGAAAACTTTCACAAGAAGCATGAAAGAAGACCATTAATTGGCCCCTATAGATTTTAATGGGGGTGCCTAATGCAGTGCACATTAACACATATGTTACCACAACGCATCTCAAAGGTTAGGTGTGAATCTACATATATTTAAGGCGTTCTGATCTTTTTTCTCTCCAGGCCCAAAGAAAGCAGCTGTGGGTGGCTCTTATAGAGAAGGCCCTAGCAAAGCTGCATGGATCCTACTTCGCCCTTCAGGCGGGCAGAGCCATCGAGGGGTTGGCCACTCTTACTGGAGCTCCATGTGAAAGTCTGATGCTTCAGGTTAGCTCTACTAACCCCCGAGAGGAGACCGTGGACACAGACCTCATCTGGGCCAAAATGTTAAGCTCTAAGGAAGCCGGGTAAGATGGGGCTGACTGGGGTTGATTGACAACAATCCTTGTTTAGGTCTGCATTGTTCACACCTGCTAATAAGAATTTCACTTTTCTAACCTGAAAGGGTGAATCGTATTGTTTCCTATGGGCAAGCCTAATTTGTTCTTTTAAGCAAATTTAGGCTCAAAATGACATTAACATTTCTGATTCTTCCTTTAGTGAGTCAAGTTCTAGGCTCTTTGATTCTAGATCAGCACTGGAGGGCGCCTGTAGTGACATTTTCTCCAGGAAAGCTACGTATGCTTACCCTATATTTATCAATTCCAATTAAAGGAGAACTATGGGGTAAGTGTTTTTCCCCATAGTTCTCCTAAGGGTCATGGGAGGACATATACTAGCGTCCTCCCGTGACCCAAAGCTCAGTATATTGCGAGTTACAGCTCGCGGTATACTGAGACCGCCGCAGCCGGGACGGATCCCGACATTACTGTCAAGATCCACCAAGCTGCGTGATTGACAGCTGGCTCTGCCTATCTAGAGGCAGAGCCAGCTGTAGCCGCCTCCTCCCCCGTCCATTCCGCCAGTCAGCGCTGGAGGATCGGAGCAGGGAGGGGGGAATCCCTGCAGGGAGATGATCGAGAAGTGAGCGAGCAACGGTATGTGTTCGCTCACTTCCCGATCTATTGAGCCGACCTGTGACAGTTTCATTGTCACGTGTCGGCTCAAACTATGAGGTTGCGTGAGACTCACCCACTTCATAGTTCTCCTTTAAATTGTGAAGCTTTAAGATAACTAAAGAACACTTAAAAATACAGTTTATTTTAAAATGATAAAGGTATGACCTGGTCAAAAGTACCTTCCAGAATCCTTAAACTCTTCTCATGATTGGTGTTGCTCATGTGTCCAAGTTCCTATAGAGACCAAGCCATGTGATGATGGCTAAAGGGAAGGGGCAGATTTAGGGAAACCCACTGTCCTTGTCACTTTCTTAAGCCCCTTTGCTTTATATCATGTGACTATTACTTCAACATTGCATGACCACCATAAGACCAGCAGCAGTGGGGAGAAGAATTCAAGGATTCCTGGACAAAGTATTATATTTTCTTCCTGTTGTTCCTAAATGTTTGTCATTTATGCCGGTCGGCTCTGTCTTAGGAGGTTATTTGGGTTTATATGTGAATATTAATCCATTGTGCTCCTCTCCGTCTCTTATATCTCCAGCTTTCTGATGGGAGCATCTTGTGGAGGAGGCAACATGAAGGTGGATGATGCGGCCTACGAGGCTGTAGGCCTGAGACCGAGGCATGCCTATTCTATACTTGACCTCAAAGACGTCCATGGCACCCGGTGAGCACACTGCAGAGGGGTTAGTACAGTAACACTGCCCTGCCTGTTTCTCGGAAAACGTTTATTAAATCCCTCATTTCTTGCTGTGTAGACTCCTCCGCCTGCGTAACCCATGGGGCCGCTTCTCCTGGAACGGGAGCTGGTCAGATGAATGGGCCTTATGGCCAGCTTCTTTGAAGCATGAGCTGATGCCACATGGTAGTAGTGAGGGTGTTTTCTGGATGGAATACAATGACTTTATAAGGTGAGTCGCCTACAGACCTTTTTTTAGATCAATTTCTATGTAGATATCTTGTAGTTATTGCTAATGTTGTATGGAGCACCAAATGTAAAAAGGTGCCACTTCCTGCAAGATTCATGTGATCACATTTTCCCTTACCATTAAATTAAGTCTATGGGCGAAATATACAAATGACCTAGATGCTGCAGTCTGTCACTAGCAGTTTTTGTATTTCCAATACCCCCACCCCGTCCCCCACAGCAGCGTTGTCACCCTCTGGACAGGGTCATCTTAGATGGCCCTTGGTTAATAGACCTTGCTGTGGTAGTTGGATTGTCTGGGGGTCATTGTCACTCTGATGATGCCCCCAGAGTTTGGAGTTTTATAAATAAGGCCATAGTGGCAGCTTTCTAGTTTCTACCTGGTTCAAATGCCTTTAAAGGGGAGGGAACCTTATATGACAGTATCAACCAATCACAGCTTTGGCTCCCATCCAGCTCTGTCTAGAACAGGGCTCACCTTCCAGGCCTAGAACTAGTATTGCTTCCAGGAGTCATGCAATGGCGTCTTATAGCTCTGGTTGGGATTTTTATCAATCATCATTCTATCATATTCTATATTCCGAAAAAAATTACGCTAAAATCTGATTGGCTCCATCGGTGTTGTGTTTGGGGTTTGTCACTCACATTTATCCTCTTTGGCTGCAGGTATTTTGACTCCGTTGACATCTGCAAAATCCACACAGACTGGCATGAAGTCCGGGTCCAGGGCACATTTCCCAACAAGGCCTCCGTTCCGGTGACGGTCACCTCCCTGACAGTGGTGGAACGCACAGCACTGGAGTTCTCACTGTTCCAGGAAGGCAGCAGGTGAGGAGAATTGGGCTTAACATAGAGCTCTGTATTAAAGAGACCCTGTCACCAGATCATTTATTTCAACCATAATCTTCCTATAAGATGATATGTGCATTTGATGCATGGTATTTTACCTGTAAAAGTCTGTCGGTGTCCTCACATCCTATGCACTGTGTATTGGGCGGTGCTTTGATGATGAGGACCCCTCTTTTGCACAGCGAGGCCTCTACTGCCTGGCTTTTGCTCCTGCAGCTCTCACTTCCTCCAGCTATTGTACACTAAAGCTGCCCATACACTTATCATTTTTCCCCGTGGGCTAAATGTTAAAAAGATGCTTGATTGGAATCACTGGTTAGTGTAAACAAAAGTCGATTGATGAAGTCAATCGACTTTTGTCAAAAATGGGGGTTTCCGAATTAGCGGCCACTCACGTAAGAGTGGGGGTCGGGAGTACTCCTCGGCGCTGGGTTTTGGCTTGGCCCAGTACCTCCTGATTTGGACGGTCTACCTTGTCTAGCCATGGGCTGGGAAGGCACAAAGCCTGTGGTACTGTGCCCCCTGAGAGTGGCGTCTCAGGGTGTGCCGGAAAATCACTTGGGTTTGGGACCCCACTTGATTCACCGGCACTGGTCACGGTCACTCATATTCTTCATGCACCACGCCTCTTAGGCAGGCCTTCTGGCTAGCCTGGGGCAGTTTTTATACCTCGGCCAGACGGCTTGTCTGGACGGCCTGCCAGGTTTGTGCACTGGCACCTATTTATTTAAGCACTATTTTTATGCACGATTGCACATTTTGACTTCACAGAAGACGGAGGGTGCAGGTACCTTCGGGGCCTGTTCCTGAAGTTGGGGAGGAGGTTCTGAGACCTACACAAGGGCCCCCTGCCTCCTTCCACTCGGAGGTCTCCCTTCGGGGGAGCCTCCACCTAGTACTCGGTGGACCTGTTTCTGCAGGTCCCAGAGGATCGGGGTCCGCCGGCCTTCCGGTAGGTGGACCTAAGTCGTTCTTGTCCCTGTCAGCAGCCTTGCGCCCTGGGGGATCAGGAAGTAGTGGCCCTTCTCACCAGAGAGGACCAATAGCACCCTTGTGCACTTTTTTGTTGTGTGTAGTGATTTCACTATTCACTTTTTTTGTTCACAGGGGTTTTGTTTACGATGCACGCTCCACGGGCTATATGTAAAAATAAAAATTTAAAAATGGGGGTTTCAAGGGGGCCACACTGGTCTAATTTTGACCTAATCGGCACGACTAGCCAAAATGCGACCACTGTATGGCCAATTTAAGAGAAATGGGCTTTGCCTGCAGATCACGTGGCAGCCTTCCTATGTGAACAGTCAGCAGCTGTTGAGCTGACAATACACTTTATAGTCTGATCGTACAGTCTCCTTTAGATCTACATCTACCGTCAGCCTGATTGGCCACAAATGAAAAGGATTCTTTAGGCAGGCCCTCAAATTACATCATTTTATTAAATATAAAGGAAATTGTACAATCAGATTGCAACACGAATAGCCAGCTTTAGAAACTGACTAAACTCCCCTTCAGAGTCCTTGTTGTGATCTTTGAAGATGAATTACTTCACAGTACCTAAAGCTAGGGAGGTCAGTGATGCTATCATTTTAAAGCTATTTAAATGCTTGCCATCAATATGTTAACACTTTAACGTTCCAGGTTTAATCTGTGTATCCTTTCCCTTGTTTAGACGATCAGACACAGTGGACAGTCACCTCCTGGACCTCTGCATCATGGTTTTTCGAGCCTCTCACGGTGGCGCCGGGAAGGTCATGTTGGGCCGTCTCATGGCACACAGCAAAAGGGCAGTGAAAAAGTTTGTAGGGTGTGATGTCATGCTGGAACCCGGGGAATATGCTGTCGTCTGCTGCGCATTTAACCACTGGAACACCGTAAACCTGACCGGCTCGTCCGTCATTCAAGGTAAGCGCAATTCTTTTCCGATTCTGAAGAAGCTTGGCCTGACAAAGAATTACGAGGATCCACGTGGGATTCCACCAATAATTGTGTCGTATGTTCAGCTTCCAGTCCCACAGGCAGCAGTAATAATCGCCGCTCGGTTGCAGACCCCATGGGGTACGTCCTGGCCATTTATAGTTCTCGGCTCGTCATGGTTGAACAGGTTGAAGCACAGCCAACGACGCTTGCAGACGCCATCATCCTGCTCACCGAGGACAAGGGGGAGCGGCATGAGGTAAAGGCACACTGGGATAATTTACTGGCTCTGCAAAGATCGATACTCTATTATTTCTTACCGCTGTTTATTCGGCTTCTGTCTAGCAGCCTTTACTGTTTTCCTCCCCGCCGCTTATGAAAGAACATTCTAGTCCTTGCATGTAGATGACGTTTAGGAACCAAAGGCCTTCACTCTCTTCTGCTTCTTCCACAGGGTCGTGAAGGGATGACCTGTTATTATCTAACACACGGATGGGCCGGGCTCATCGTGGTTGTAGAAAATCGCCACCCCAAGTCGTTTTTGCACATTCAGTGTGACTGCACAGACAGCTTCAACGTAGTGTCCACCCGTGGCAGCTTAAAAACCAGCGACAGCGTCCCACCGCTTCACAGGTGAGTGAACCAGGCCAGCCATAGGTCCATGGCACAATAGAGATCCTGTCGCTGGCAGCAAATGACAGGAAAAGAATTGCTTAAACACTCATCTGCTCCAACTGCGTCACTCCTTCGCTGAATGAACTGGTGAGGTGTTGCTCAGTTGCTGCCCTCTTCTGTTTTGGCCAGCGAGGGAGTGACATTGCAGGTTAGTGATCTCTTTAGCGATCCTGTTGCCTATGGTTTGCCACCACGGACAGAATCGGTAGTGTGATATGGATCTTAGATTAATAACACTTTAATTGGACATATATATGTATTATAAAGAGGAACTTTTACCCATATCTTATATAACAGATGCTTAAAGATAATTACAAGTGACGAGGGAGCATGGAGCCGGCTTCCTGGCCAATCAGGAAGCCGGGCAGCGTGTAATGACTCGTTGCCCGGCTTCCTGATACCAGAAGTATCAGGCTAGGCATCGGAGCATTTGGACCAGTACTCCCCCAGATACTTGGCATCAATACTAGTATCGGTATCAGTGCATCCCTAATCACTTCTCTCTATAGTCAGTGAAAATGAATACAGCACAGGGGTGGGGTAATCTAACCCCAATCACTAAGATCTTATTTAAACAGTAACATATTAATGTACCTTCTAAACATGTCTGCACCTTTCTCTACAGGACTTCCTGGCAATCCTGCCATGATGGTCCTGTGTTCAGACACTCCCTTGTTAACAACTGTCCCATAATTGCGCTTCTGCATTGTCGCCCAGTCACGCGCTCCCCTGGAGGAGACTAGAAGCGGCCATGCTGACTCACATGGCACTGGCATTGCCGGCTGTTGTAACTATCTGAAAGCCGGTCCAGAAGACAAGAAGGCTAAAAAACTGCAGGAGATTGGCAGCACTGAGATGGGGGGAAGTTATTTTGTGAAAACACTATGGTAATTGTTTGATACACGCTGAATGTCTTCCTGTCAGAGCTTCGATCAACTTAGTGGTTTCATGTTCTGAAGCTGCCAGTGGATTGCACTGTGTTGGCTGAGAACAAATACCTAAGGTTAATATTTGTAGTTAATGGCTAACTGAATTCTTGATGATAAGAGCTCTCATACCATATATTGTGTTAGAGATTTGTCACCTCTGTATCGTATTGCAGAATATGTGCCAGATTACATTGCTGCATGGATAATATGGTTCATAGAAGTTGCATGGTCTATGCTGGTTGTAGGTGCTGATACGTCTGCTTGTTCCTTAGGCAGGTGCTGGTCATCTTATCGCAACTGGAGGGCAACGCTGGCTTCTCGATCACTCATCGACTGGCACACCGGAAGGCTAACCAGGCTTCCCTAAACGACTGGATGTCCAGCAAAGGCACCCACAGCCCCCCTCTGTCCGCGGAGGTATCCGGCCTACACGGGCCCCGGCCGCTATGACACACGTCCACAGAGCCACATCCCATCACGGCTGGACTGCCCAGGTTCAGTGGGAGCACTTTAGGGACTGACTGATTCCTTGGAAAAGAGAACTACACTTGAAATCTACTCAGGACTTATATCCTGTGTATACAGGGACCCTTCCCCCATCCCTTGGTCCTGTCCCTCCCTTTTTTTTTTATTTCCTGCTTTCAAGGCCCACATTATAAGTGAAAGCTTTATCATTGTACTACGTTTAAGCAATGCAGCCCATTATATATATTTTTTTCTACAATATGTCACCTGCACATACAGTCTTATTATATAAGGCAGTTCATAGAGCAGTGATGGTGAGCAAATTGCATTACCCCCTCCCCCCCATAGCACAATGCAGCTTTCAGCATTTAAGTGCAGTCAGAGCGACTAAAACTAATTGCTGATTCTGGTCGCTGTGAGTGACTGCACTTGCTGTTGCGGAGGTCATAGGTCACACTGTGAGCAGGACCTGGAGGATGAAGACATCACAAAGTCATCTCTATGATCTTTTATAATCCGTCTGCCTCTGCTGCTGTGTAGTATGTAAGAGATGGGCATACCTTGGTCCTATGCAGTGCTAAGTTAGCTGCACATCATTCACCGCAGGGTGACTGGAGGACGTGTCACTTTCTAAGTGGCATTTGATCAGCTGAGCAAGGAGAGCAAGCACTGATTGGACGGTGGGAGAATTTCTAGTGATGATCAGTTTAGTCTTAAAGTATATCTTAAGCCAAAATTTTTTTTCCAATTTGGATAGAGTAGGAAATGGTTAAAACCGCTGTCAGGTATTTATTTTTTTTTGCCATTTTTGTCCTGTTAAGAGATTATCTTTCACTTCCTGTCTTTTACACACAACAGGAAGTGAGAGCAAATCTCTGCAAATTGAGGTAAATCCCCACATAGACAGTTCTCACTGGAATAGAAGATTTCCCCTGTATTTCTGTTCTGGTGGTTACTCCGAATTTTACATCGCTTTCAGTGGCGATGGTCACCAGGACGAATCACGTAAGTGAATCTCCTGAGCGAGGACACAGACAGCAATAAAAACCGGACAGGGGTTCTAATCTGTCCTCAGTGTAGCCAAACCTAAAAAAAAAGGTTTGCCTTTAGTTATAATTTAAGTCCCACTCAAGGCCCATTGAGTCCTATGTTTGCTGACTGAGCTCCGGGCAGCTGATGATGAATGGATCTCAACTGCAACAAGACACGTGCAGAAACACATCACCGCCTGCTAGCGCCATAGAAGCTATATGGCAAGAATGGCAGGCTCAGCTTGTACAGGGCATGCACAGTCCAACCTGCATGGCAGTGGATCCAACAGGTAGTAACGTCCTAGAAGTGCAGGAACACACCAGCAATAAGGCAATGACGTGCAGCACTGCCCCATAAGCACTAGTGAGCAGGTTGCTGGGCTTGCTGACATGGGGCAATATTAATCAGTGCGTCCGGAATGTGTACTGGCGATAGGACGCTGTAGCTACATATTATTAGATTTAATCATCTTTGTACCCTCTTGAGGGTTGGTAATAAATAGGACCATTTGGAGATGAATATCTGCTGGACAATAAGAAGTAAAATAGGAAACGTCTCATTGTGCCCAAAACTGAAAATGTCACAGGATGCAAAAAGATAACCCGTCTCCCAAAACGGGGAGGGGGGTCCTTCTCAAAGCTGGGGTCCTGCAGACAGCACCTCCTTACAGCCTTTTTCCAGGTATAGAGCAGGATCCAATGAGAGCGCTTCCTAGAGCCAACGACTGGCAATTCACGAATCCAGCCAATCATGGTTCAGGATTTGCTGGATTCTCAGCAGATGAACAAATATGCAGATATATTCAGGCAAATAAAAAAGATTATCACTACCATCAGTATCTTGTCACTGGTATTCACTGCATGCCAATCCCTGGCCAAGCCGGTGTTATCTGCATTATCTCCAAGTGGAGGACTGTAGGAAACACTCTCATGTTGTCAGGCATAAAAAACTTCAAGGAAAACCTTACCCAGACCACATGCCATGCAGGATTGGAACCTCGTAGCTATGGGTTATATGGGCGGATTGGAGATGGAACCGCCGTCCAGCCGCATAAGAGAAGAACTCGCGTTGCCAGCGCACCTTCATCCATCACCAAGTGATCAGAAGTATTCAATGTTTGGGTGACCGAGGTGAAGGCTTGTATGGTACATGTATGGTACATCTGGTCACCCTGATGGAGGGTCCTTGCATGTTCATGTTCCTACAACATGGTGACTTCTCTTCGCTTGGTGAAGAATAAAGGAGCGCTGGTAACATACGTCCCTCCAAGCACATAGAAAGCTTTCATGTGACCCCAGCCTTACCAGCAATGCCATTATCTTCATGCAATAAAAGGTATTTTTTTATTTTACTGTCACGTGAGGAAGATGCAGCCATTTTAGTAGTTACAGGGTAAGAAAGTGAAAAGCTATAACATTGTTTTTATGATACAAAAATATATATACATTTTAGATGAAACTGTGTGCAGCTGATGCTGCATTGAGTCCAGAGCTTTGCATATAGATTATCATTTCATTTCTACAAAGCCCCTCCTAATCCTATTGGGAAATCTCAGTACCGGCCAAGGGAAGATCATAAGACCGTTGTTCCTCCAGGTCAGAAGACTGCGTTCGAAAATTCCAGAACCTCCAACAAAAGGACTTTTCTATATTTTTAAACCGGACATACTGGTAAGGACGATGGCGTCTTGAGGGTCTCGGGATTCAGATGGCGTCACGCTGGCTCGGAGAGCCAAGTAAATTGTCCGACTCGAGTTCTGGAGATCCTTGGAATGGGATTCGGACTCGTGCGGTGTACAGAACGCAGACTTCTGTACTTTGCAGGGAACACTGGGGCGGTTTGCTGCTTTCATGCTTTTTAGTCTCAGGGAAAGAAGGGCTGTTTGCTCATTCACACTCTGTCTAGAAGGAACCCTTCCCTCCCTGCGCTAGTTCTCATTCATCAGATACACTGGGATGTCTTTTTATGTTGTATTCATGTATATAATGTATGCATGTGTGTGTGTGAACACGTCAGCTGGAATGATTTTAACAGTCACTAACTGGTATTCTATAAAAGAAGGGGGGGGAATGGACTCTGTTATTGTTTAAATTAGCCATGTTGTGCCGGGCCATAGCAGGTCAGCTTCATTTTGATTGGTTACCTTCCAACTTTAATTTTAGCCACATCTGTAAAGTAAATTTAAGGGGTGTTTTTATAAATCGTTCGCTATTCAGTCTGCAGAAGTCTCATTTTCAGATTTGCACCGCAGTATGGCCACCAGATGGAGCCAATGAGCATATAAGGTTCCTGTGCTTCATAGCTCCATCTAGTGGCCATAATGTAGTGCCAAGGAGCATAGGGATTGCCTGTGATCCTCAGCTCCATCTAGTGGCCGTGATGGGTTGTAGCTGCCAGAAGGAGCATAGGGATTGCCTGTGATCCTCAGCTCCATCTAGTGGCCGTGATGGGTTGTAGCTGCCAGAAGGAGCATAGGGATTGCCTGTGATCCTCAGCTCCATCTAGTGGCCGTGATGGGTTGTAGCTGCCAGAAGGAGCATAGGGATTGCCTGTGATCCTCAGCTCCATCTAGTGGCCGTGATGGGTTGTAGCTGCCAGAAGGAGCATAGGGATTGCCTGTGATCCTCAGCTCCATCTAGTGGCCGTGATGGGTTGTAGCTGCCAGAAGGAGCATAGGGATTGCCTGTGATCCTCAGCTCCATCTAGTGGCCGTGATGGGTTGTAGCTGCCAGAAGGAGCATAGGGATTGCCTGTGATCCTCAGCTCCATCTAGTGGCCGTGATGGGTTGTAGCTGCCAGAAGGAGCATAGGGATTGCCTGTGATCCTCAGCTCCATCTAGTGGCCGTGATGGGTTGTAGCTGCCAGAAGGAGCATAGGGATTGCCTGTGATCCTCAGCTCCATCTAGTGGCCGTGATGGGTTGTAGCTGCCAGAAGGAGCATAGGGATTGCCTGTGATCCTCAGCTCCATCTAGTGGCCGTGATGGGTTGTAGCTGCCAGAAGGAGCATAGGGATTGCCTGTGATCCTCAGCTCCATCTAGTGGCCGTGATGGGTTGTAGCTGCCAGAAGGAGCATAGGGATTGCCTGTGATCCTCAGCTCCATCTAGTGGCCGTGATGGGTTGTAGCTGCCAGAAGGAGCATAGGGATTGCCTGTGATCCTCAGCTCCATCTAGTGGCCGTGATGGGTTGTAGCTGCCAGAAGGAGCCAAGGAGCATAGGGATTGCCATCTAGTGGCCATAATGTGGTGTGAATCTAAAATTGAGACATTCACAGAGTGCACAGCTCTGTGAACATTGTTTAAATACACCCCTAAGTGTATATCAGCCTTTTTTTAAAACTTTTGAATGGATATAGAAGGCTCTTGTAAATGAGGTCCCATTTAAAGGGATTAATAGGCTGGAACTCTTTTCACTTGCACAAGGGGGCTGTTCTGTGGTTGATAGGCCTCACTTCATTACCTACAACAAGAGGGCTAAAAGTGAAGTCTGTGCCCTTATCAGGGATCAAACCTATGCTCAGATGGACTGGTTGTTTAGGAGGTGCTATCATAGAATCGTATAGAACTAAACAGCCATGGTATCGCCTTCACTTAGCTGCTAGTCAGTTTCACTCTGGTTGATTTCAGATAAGGGATTGGGCTTCCCACAGCACTCAGTTCTCCATTGATGTTAATGAGCTAAAAGCTTTAAATGAGCAGTGGAAAGAGTTTAAAGCATTGGTGGGCAACTCCGGCCCTCCAGCTCTAATTACAACTCCCATCATGGCTCTGGGAGTCATTCCTGTGGCTGTCAGTCTTGCAATGCCTCACGGGACCTGTAGTATTGCATCTGGAGGACCGGAGTTGCCCGCCACTGTTTTTACAGGGAATAGGCAAGTTCAGAAATATAGGAGCTGCCATTGCTGACTTAAGGCCCATCCTCTGGGGCTATCATTCTAATCTTTGCTTTACTAGACTTTGGCATAAGTATATCAGATGTCCAACCACCATATACTAACATGTTTATTTTATGTGATCGGCTCGCCAAATAGTGAAGCCAGGGTTTACAATGTCAGCCCCCGAGCCTGCACCTTTAAAAACAAGTCAGCTTACCATGTTCCCACCCTGATGGGTTCCATGTATTGTGTTGCTGAAGAGCCACTTCATCATGGCTGTGCATTTAGATCCTCAGTCTATCTTTAAAATAAAGGAAAAGGCTTGCCTGTAACCCGCCTGTTCTATGATGCTTCCCCTCGGCTCTGATCCTCTCTGCTTACATTTTGTAATAAATTGCTTTCTGAATACTTTTTATTCTTAGTTTTTCTATGTGGTCTCATAACCCGCAAAGCACTGGGGCTCCAGCTCATTCCTCTCTCTCTCTCTGTGGTTGGATGGTGGGAACTCTTCTCCCAGTGGACAAAGCCTGGACAGCACTGGAAGCTATGGCCGCTGGCAGGATGATGTCACAGCCACAGGGAATTCAGTACCATTGTTGGCAGAGTCTGGCCGGAGCTTTGCAGTCATGTGACTGCATAGATGAGCTTAAAAAAATAGAGTATACAGAAAGCAATCTATTACAACATGTAAGGGGGGGG